AGTGATTGGAGTGCTCTGGCTGTGAATCCAAGAGATGTGGTTCGCAACCTTTGTCGAAAAAACGCGCTCCTCGCTTTGTGACCTTTTACGTGATATAAGACTGACTGTCAAATCCCACTATTTAGTCAGAAATAACACAGTCAAGAATTGGCGGGGGAGGGGGAGTACTGACAAGCTTCAAAATTAGGGACGGTTATTCGTAGAAGGCCTTTAGTATAACTTTGTGCAAAATTTCTAAAAACAAACAATTGTAATATTTTCCTCTCAGTGAAAAATAACTAAATTTGTGCAAACAGGTTTAATTCCACGAATTTACAATTGCGTGATAATGAACATAAACATTAGACACTAGACTGCATTTTTTTCTGAACTTAAGTTGTAACAAATCACGTATTTTCAGAATGCATTATCCTGTTTAGTTACAAGAAGAGAAAATTCCACCTTTTACGTCTAAAACACAAACTCAACGATTCTAGCAAAAGAAAACAGGAATGTTTTTTTTGTGTGTGTTTGTAATTAAGCACAAAGCTACACAATAGGCTATCGAAACCCGGATTCTAGCGTTGTAAGTCCGCAGACATACCGCTGTGCCACTGGGGGGCGAAAAAACAGGAATTAATAAATTTTGTAATTTTTACAAGCTTATAGGCGTAGTTGAGAAATTCTATAAACTATTTGCAATGAAAACCGAAACCTAAGAATTCCGAAATTCTGTAACTTATTTGTATGATTTGTTTTTGTTTTTTTAATTTCGCGCAAAGCTACACGAGGGCTATCTGCGCTAGCCGTCCCTAATTTAGCAGTGTAAGACTAGAGGGAAGACAGCTAGTCATCACCACCCACCGCCAACTCTTCGGCTACTCTTTTACCAACGAATAGTGGGATTGACCGTCCCGCTAAGTCTCAATATTTTCCAATAAAAATCGCAGCACACTGAAAAGTGTTTTCAGTTGCCAAAATTAAAAATATGATTATCCACCGAGTGGTAAGAAAACGTATTAACTTTCTTATTTTATTTGTTACAAAACATCCTAATAACTTCGTTCGTGTAATTTCTATATTTTTCTTATATATTTAACGTTAGAGCAGAAATTTTTATTGGGAAAAGTTTCACTTCTCTCCCATCCTAATTCTTTTTACCCTTAAAAAAAATAGATACATTCGGTTTCTCAGTGGTTGATGTACCCAGTGGTTAGCGTCCCGTTGCCGCAAAACAACGGTAAAGTTCTGAAACAAAGAAGCATATATATACGATTGTAAGCAATAATAATTTAGGTTTCACTTATTTCTTCTCTCTGTTTCCTTCATGACAAAATATTAGTACAAGTTTCTCCGTGTTTTTCTTTTTTATTTATTTTTTAATCGAAAATAGAATTTTTATGAAATACGTTAAAACTGTGTATTGTTAGTTGAATTTTTATCTTTGTTTTTTCTCCCCGAGGACAGATTTTGGTATCGGATCACAATAAAGATTGAATATATATATATATAAAAGTGTAACTGATGTTTCGTGACTTTAGTTTTGTTTTCATAACTAAAGGTGGGAGTTCTGGGGTTGAAACTCAAGCTTGGCGAACCCCCAGGAAGTTCGGACCGGATGTAGATGTCATATCGAGCGGCTGACCCAAACCTCCCACATAAACAGGCCTTAATCACACCACCTTCACGATCGTACAGGCGTGACCTCGTATGTAGGGGCAGCGTCAAACAAAATTACTTGCTACTTTCCATAATAATACATCACTAGATACACTGAGGCTTCGTCACAAGTACTTTCCCCCTTTTCCAAAACACACACACACAAAATCACAAACAAAAACAAACCATTTATCCATGTTTCTTTTATTACTATTTTGCATCCAAAGTATGCCTTGGTGTGGTAACTTTATACCAGACAAAATACGAGTTTGTTTACTTTTAAGGAAATAATTCTTTTTAACAAAGACTTATTTTTCAGTGAAAGTCTAATAAAGAAAAAGAGTTTAGTTCTCAAACAAGTCTCTAGGAGGTTTCAAAGATGTAAGAAAGAGACATAACCCTAAAATAATTTTTAAAAAATGAACAGATTTTGATTAAAAATAAATTAAAAAAAAAGTGCAAAAGACGTGATGACACTTTATTTATTACTCTCTCAACTTTTGATTTATAGTATTAACAAGAAATTTATAATCATACGTGAGAAACCTGACGTTCCAAGATAATTATTACTGAAGGTTGCTAAGATACCTCTCTCTCGCGTGGTTCTATAAGTAGATAATATTCAAATTTTGAAAATAAATAAGAAGTCCAATCTATTATTCGATTCACTACTTATCAACTGACCTATAACGGTTTCGAGGAATTCCATTCTTTATGGGTAAATCAGTGACAAGTGGTGTATTGAATAACTCAGTTAAAATAAATTAATAACACTAATGTTACATCTTATTCAAATCCTATATAAAAAAGTGTTTCATTGTGGTGAGAAGAGACAAATTTCAAACGCCATAGATATCCACAACACCACTATACGAATCTAAATTTGTTTTATTCTATTTCATCAAACATTTGTTTCTAGTTTCATACACGATGTCGTAAGAACCCAATAAAAAAGGTTCACCCTCCGCGGAATCATTTCCACAACTGGATCCCCTTCTAACGATGTACTTGATGTCTCTTCTTAACTGATCCTCTATATGATCTTCCACCAATGGTTATTTTACTTTACTAACACAGTGATTATATTTAAACCGACTACGTTACCCCCACGGATATTGCATCCTACAACTGTTATTTTCTACATGTGATATTATCTATCAATCACATCAGAATGTCTGCAATTCATCTCTTAACCCACACACCTATTCAGAAATTCACTTGGCAGAGACCTATGAGGCAAACTAAAAGTGATGGGGAAAAGTTTATTTGACCAAATGAAGCGAGGGAATGTGTGTCATAGACGCACCAATTACGGCCGAGGTCCATGGCTCGCTTCAGGACTTTGGAAGTTCTTGGGTTCTGAATTACATTTGACGTATTATTCTGCTTTTCCTGGGTGTAATTTTCCTAATTGTGATGTATATTTAGTGTGACATATTGAAAAGTGTGGGGCCCGAACCCCCGCTTCCTACGCCACTGTTTGGGTGAAGAGAGGGCGTAACCCTCTGATGGCCTGACAGTTCTTTTAAATGGCAGGAATGAAATGACATTAGAAACTGTTACAATTTGCTCTTGTCCAGGGTTAGTGGTTGGGGGTTGAATTCCCCGAAACCGGTTCAGCTCAGTGGCAAGTAGTGAACGGAATGCGTATTGGAGCTTCAAATTTAATCTTAGTGTTTAATTAAGCAGCTTTTCTGCTGAATATTCAAGAGAACAAGTTAGTACCATCAATAATGCGTATTCTTGAAAACCTATCTAAATATATGTTTACCGTGGGATCTAAAAAACATTTTAAACACTGCTCATCTTTAATACAGACGAAATAGTTTATTAGTTTAATATAACAAATTAATTTGTAAGTTAGTAGTTACTTCTATTATTTAAAAAAGTTTTTCACTTACCACAGAAACTGTTAGCAGTTACTATTTCAGCCAAGAGATGGCGCAGCGAAAGTATTTACAATATTTCCACTCATTTGTTTGTTTCTTTGTAATTAAGCACAAAGCCACACAATGGGCTATCTGTGCTCTGCCCACCACGGATATCGAAACCCGGATTCTAGCGTTGTAACTCCGCAGACATACCTCTGTGCCACGGGGGGGGGGCATTTACATCCATTTAAAATTTTTTAAATATATTTTAGCTATATTATATATTTTGCAAACGTTCTTTACAACATAAACAAAAAGAGTTAATGTATTGATGTTTTTTAAAATAAATCTAGTTTTTTTTCCCTTTGATATTAATGTTAAACGTAATACTTAACGTTACTTAACAGAATTATCAATTCGTTTGCCATTCAAACTCTATTGAAACATAATGAGCTAATTGTTATCCATAAACATATATAAATCAGAACTGTGGCAATGAAATCTATGCTTATTGAGAGACGAGAAATGCAAATTCATAATATGTGTCGTATGATTCATGAGCAAAACTTCTCGATAGGCTTAATATTGTTATTTTTAATCTTAAATAATCAGTTTAGTGCTGTTGCCGGAACAAATTTTACTAATTTTCAAACTCTAAAAGACAAAACTGTTTTGGAATTTTAAACTATTCTTACTTAGGTCTGATTATTTGAAAACAAAGCCACATTGGGCTATCTGCTATGTCCACAGCGGGGAATCGAACGTCAGATCTTAGCGTTGTAAATCTGTAAGCTGAACGCTGTCTCACCAGGGGATTTTTACGTAAATATTTACACAGCTTACTGCAAAAAGATGGTAAATCCACAAAGGAAATCGGTGAAATAATTACAATGACTAAAGCGACGTGTGAATGCAGATGTTTCCAAAAGACTTTGCCTACCGCAGATCCGGTTCATCTGATTATTTTAGTAATGAATTAAAGACGTCTTGGGAAATGACTTGTGTAGTACACAAAATATATGTCTAAAATGCTATTTTAAACACAGTTATCATTTGAATTTCATAATGAACTATTTGAGATAAATGTGATCAAAATATTTGCACTCAAAGATAGTTGCATCGTTTTTGTTAGGCCTAATAAATATATTTTTTTATCATCACCGCTATAAGAAAACCACTTTAGGTCTACACGTTAATTGTACAAAACTTTCTAGAAAGTACTTGCAGAACTAAAGGGTTTTTCTTCATATTTTATTCTTGAACTCGCCAGTATTTTCTAGTTTGGAAACCCAATACAGGTTTTCTATTTAGAAAATATATGTTTAATAACTTTTGTTCACAAATTATGTGTGAACATTATATTGTCTATTCAATGGGACACTCTCGAATAAGTATGTTGCTTAGCAACTGTTTATCAAGAAGAGATAAGAACAGATATGACTGACGTGATGTATTTCTCCTAGTTACCTGGCGTGATGTATTTCAGAGGCGATATATCGGTAGCTCTATATATTTACCTACATATATGAATATACAGTTTAAACGATTATGGAAATTTTGTATGATTTCAAGGCGATGTGGAAAATTATTTTTGTTATCTGGGTAATCTGGGAAATGCCTCAAGCCTTTTCTCGTGAGCCTAATGTACCTGTAGGACCAGGACAAAATGGCTTCCAATCCGTGTACTCTAACCACCGCCTTGCCAATTCAAAACACCCATTGAAATGTAAGTAAGAAAGACGTGCGGACTTTTGTTATAACTTTGAAAAAGATATTTTCTTCTGAATCTGTAGTAATATCTTTTAATTTAACATATTTTTCATTTAATTACGCAGTTCTGTTATTTATTATTAAAAGGAAAATGGACGATTTTGTTGGATGTTTTAGGCTCAGATCTTTCGTAAAGAGTAAATATACTTTACTAGCTTTGAAATATGATTAAGTGTGTATATGTTATGCATATATATATATATATATATATATGTCTATGCGTGTATTCTATATAAATTGTTTTGTATAAAATAACAAGTTAGCAATTCTTATAAATATCCTTAAATATGGAAAAAATAAGTCTTAATGCTGATCGTAACTTAAAAGTTATCATATTCTTTGGTGATTATGCCCGGCATGACCAGGTGGTTAGGGGGCGCTCGACTCGCAATCTGCGGGTCGCGGATTCGAATTCCCGTCCTACCAAACATGCTCGCCCTTTCAGCCGTGGGGATGTTAAAATGTGACGGTCAATTCCACTTTTCGTTGGTAATAGAGTAGCCCAAGAGTTGTGGTGATGACTAGCTACCTTCCCTCTAGTCTTTCACTGCTAAATTAGGGATGGCAAGCGCAGATAACCCTCGTGTAGCTTTTCGCGAAATTCAAAAACAAACAAACAAACTATTTTGGCTATAGCGACAATTACACTACTGTTTCTCATACCAACTTCTTTCGACATTCTGCAGCTTGTTGATATGGTTGAAACTCTATTTTAGAACGTCGAAGTGTCTTTGATGTATTTTATATCTGTTCATGCACAGATTTTCGTATTCGCAACATGGCTTAAGTTTCATGATATTTGTAATATCCTTCTAAAAACAGAAACAGTCAGTTATTTCGTGACATATACCCTTAAGTCGAGTACATTATTTCTTTCAACCTGTACTTTATACGCAAAAAACCGGGGTGGGCAGAGAATAGATAGCCTATTGTGTAGCTTTACGCTTGACAGCAAACAAACAAGGAATGTTGTTCCTTCTTGGGTTAATTACATTATAATACAGTATTTACTGCCTGACGAAGGGCATGTGCCTGAAACGTTGCACAAAATAATGGTGTAAAAAGATTACATTTAGACGTGTTAATTTATTTTTTATTACCTTTTATCCAAATAAACAAACAACCTGTACAATCTTGACCCTTACGCAATCTGTGATAGTCAAGAACGAAACTTCATTTTAATTTTTCTTTCAAAAATTAAAAACATAGAATTGACATAAGAACTGCCTTCTAAATAGTCGCATTGTATCTTAGACGTTAGGACACTAAGATAAAAAAGGAAAGTCTAAAAAAAAAGAAGAAAAAAGCTTTAAATGTTGATGTTATTTGCTTGCATTTATAGAAAAATAACAAAGAAAAAGGAGTTTCATGTTTAAGGCATTGTTGTTTTTTAATCATGATGTACAACAATATACCAAAGTCCTTCCCTTTAAGTTTAACAATACCTTGAATTTAGCGAATATTATTGTTGGATCTAATTGTTCTGTCGTCCGGGAGACAGCCTGTATCGCAATAAAGTTGTTATAAGAAACTGTAATGTATAGATTTCGTTGTTTTTTCTTAGCTTATGTTTTTTATTTCTTTCAGATTACATGGATGAACTATGTACTTCAGATAAATCATTTATTATACAAGCGTCAACTGACGGTTATGATTCTACCGGTATTCTAAGCCTAAGCAAGTGGAAAAACGTAAAACCCGGATTCGTCTGTAACGTAACAATATTGACAAAGCCTCTATATCAAATTCAAGTGGCTTTTCGTAGTATTAACATCAAAAGCTACACAAGCAACGGAATATCGCATGTATGTAGGAATTTTATTAGGATCATTGCTAACGAAAGCTCGAAGTCAAATAACTTCAACAGTAACCGGATTTGTGGAAACTCTTCGTCTCCTGAAGAATTTGTATTTCGCACTTTTTCAAAGAGCAATGTTATAACCATACAATTCTACAGTGACCCCATTGATTATAGCTTTTCCTTCACTGGTTTCCAAATGACTTTTACAGTTTTTAACCTGAGTAAGATAAGTATATATATTTCCATTTCTATGTTTTTATCAAGATAGATTCCGTTGTTCTTTGCGTTTACACTCTTTGTAGGAAATATGAACATTCTTATTATAAAATGTTTACATGAACGTTGATAAGGCTGACTTCCATTTTATCGCATATTCTGCTTATCAAACTTAAAAAATTAAGTTATGTTGCTTTAGGCACTTTCCTCCCGAAAAATTATGAATCCAGGAATATCTTGTCGAAGAAGACGTACAACCCGTGTCTAATCACTTCATAGGACGAGACATGGTGATAGCCTTGTTACATCCGAGTGACGTCAAACAAGGGTGCGCATGCTCTCTTATCTTGGTAGTGTTGGACTGTGGTGCTAAATGACGTTAATACAGGCGGCTGCCTCGGTTGTCTTTAATGACACTTACGCGACTGGAAAATCTAATCACAGGAAAGGCAAGATACACATTTCGTGTCTAACTTCTTGAACGTTTCATTAGGCATTCTTTGTCTATCAATCAAATTAAATTGAATAAATTAAATTCCAGATCACAGATTCGTGCTTATTTCGTGAGAATATGATACCACAAGATGTACTATACCGTTGCTGATATCACGGCTTCTTAGCAACATTGTCGTTCAAAGGCAAATATATATGTGGATCCGAGGGTCCCTGGTTCGCGTCCCAATGCTGCAACTGCACTCCGCACTGTAAGGCCATGAATGTATCGCAAGAGTAATCGTGTCGTACCTCACTATTCGATTAGAGCAACCCAACAATTGGTGGTGGGTGCTGTTGACTGGCTGCCTTCCCTCTAGTTTATAGTCTATGTAGTTCTTGTTTAGCTTTATGTACTATCCAGAACAACAACAACAACAACCAAAAACTAACTGAAAATTTCGAGTTACTTTGGGTAACAGCTATGAACTAATCCTCAATTTGCGTTAGGCACTTGAACAAAACAATTTTAAGGACGATTATAAAAATACTTGACGGTCAAATCGACCAGCGCAACGTGGAGTCGTTACCTGGACTCAAATGGAGCCCAAAGAAGACGTAGGAAAAGTCTACGGAATCACAATGCAAAAATGAGGGGTTCGATCCCCGCGGTGAAATTATATGGCCAGATTATAGCGTTTTGAGAATTTTTTCTTTCTCTTTGCAGACAATGATGTAGTGCTAAAGCTCTGACAAAACTTCTGTCATGCGTGTGACGTCACGATCAGATTAAAGAACTTTTATTCAGAATCTAATTTACATTTCTGGATTTCAAATACCGGAACGTTCCGGCAGCACTACACCCCCTTCATTAATTTATTCACTAAGATCGATATGCTTAAGTGCCTTATTTCTATCTATTTTGAATATTTTAATCCTTAAAAGAAAGTCAATATTACTAAACAATTTTCGAGACTTGTCTCTATTTTTTTTTTATTCTTTTCTGGAAATTGCTAGATTTATGAAAGAAGTACATGTGGTTTTGGTTTCTTTTCCTAGCAACCAATGGAGTGTGTAAAGGCAAACAAAGATTTCACTGTTTCAATTCTTTTTGTATTTCGGACGTTTTATTGTGTGACAGCTACAACAACTGTGGGGACTATAGTGACGAATCACAGTCTTCTCTTGCGTCATGTGACATCAATGGTAAGGTAACTTATAGATCTTTTTAATGTTTAGATCTAAACATCGCCAAACATGGCTATTCTATGGATCGAAAGGTCCAAGGTTTGAGCCGCGATATACTGCTGAACATATTCCGCACTTTAAGCTGTATTTAACATTATAACCAATGGCAAAGTTAAGGGTGGCCTTAGCCCCGCCCACTCGGCACTTAGGTCCACCCAGTCAGAGTCTGCATGACGGTTCCCGTTAATTCTGCTGCTATCTGTTAGAGGTGGTCGTGTGGGCGGCGAGTGCTGCCGAATGCTTGCTCTTTCACTGGTCAGCAGCTTTAAATTAGTAGCATTACATGATGTCTTTCGTAATTACTTCAGTGTGAAAAGATAGTGTAATTAGTTTCTCCTGTATTACTTCAGTGTGAAAAAATGTGTAATTAGTTTCTCCTGTATTACTTCAGTGTGAAAAAAATAGTGTAATTAGTTTCTCCTGTATTACTTCAGTGTGAAAAAATAGTGTAATTAGTTTCTCCTGTATTACTTCAGTGTGAAAAAATAGTGTAATTAGTTTCTCCTGTATTACTTCAGTGTGAAAAAATGTGTAATTAGTTTCTCCTGTATTACTTCAGTGTGAAAAGATAGTGTAATTAGTTTCTCCTGTATTATTTTTACATGTTGTAACGTTAGTTATAAAAAAATCTATGTTTATCTGTAACATAAAATTTATTAATTTGAATTCAGCCATGCAATAAATGCTACCGGAATTTTTTATTTTTTAACGTTTATGTGGAACTGTTAAAAGTATTTGAAATTTAACGTGAAACTTAAAATTTTCGTTATTGGGAAATTGGTTGTGAATAACGCTCTGTAAGTATAATGTGTCTGGAAAAGAATACATTTAGTTAAATTATTCAGCAAAAGGATTTAATGAGGTATATAAAAAAAGCCTGAGTGTTGTTTGTTTTTTTGTATATCTAACATTCTTTTTTTTAGTATTGTTACATCTCCGTTCGTTAGTTAATTTTCCGTAAAAATTCTTCCCGACGAATTTTTACCGATACAAGTCCTTTCTTAAATAAAACTGGTTTATTCTTTCTGAATATAACTTTGGAAACACTTAATTTCAACAGTCGCGCTATAAAAAACGCTATAATTCATAACGAACGTCTCACGTGCTCGACTCAACAATACTCAGTTCAATTACACATTATTCCCGTCGCTTCGTGGCCGGTCTTATATATAACAAGACTACACTATATCTAGAAGGATCCCTAGATTTAAGGAAGGGACGAGAATGTTCGAGAAGGACGTGGCGTGATACTAGTCACGTGACCACCGCTGACGCAACAGTATTAATGTTTTTATTTTTGCTCTTACAGATTTCCCAGTTTCTCTCGAATCGAAATCAAACGTTTTTATCATCATAATCTTCGGTACCTTAACATTCATCCTCTTCCTTGGATGTGTACTCCTTTTCCGAATTCAAAATAAATTGATTACTTCGTGTTTGCGGGGTCGAAGGTCTCAACCAGAACCTGCCAGAAGGTGGCGCTTTATGGGATCCAACAATGCTCAAGAAAGTGTCTCGACAGTTTCTTTGTCTGTCAGTCATTCCCTACATCCAAGAGAAGATTTTATCACTGATACAACTTTACAACGTGAACTGCCACCTGCGTACGAAGACGCGATTAGAGCGCCACCTCCACTGTTTACTGCTCTCAATGCCCAACAAATAAACAATGACAGTATTCAGGTTTAACTGCCAAAATAAGATTTTATTCCGTTCTTATACACATTATATGTACGTATTATAAAAATGAAACCCCCAAGCTAAACCATTAATTTAAACAATGGTATACTACTGTTATGTATCTGTATGTCTATACTCTAAAGTATAAATTATATTGATATAATTATTTTTGTACCAACCGATAATACTATACGTTACAGTGCCGAGTCCGAGAGTAAATATATGTTACATAGAGGGCCTTGTGAGTTATAGAAAAATTCGGAATTTATGTGTGTGTAAATTAAAATAACCTGGGCTTGGCGTGGCCTAGCGATTAGCATGATGAATTGTGAATCTGAAGGTCCATGGTTCGTGCCTGCCCACGACAGATGCACAACAAATGATTGGCCAACCCAAAACGGGATAGGCCCCCAACTCTTTACTGCACAGGGAGACGGAGTGTAGCGAGAGGGGTTGTGACCATTCATCACAAAAGAACGACGAAGTTTTTTTGTTTTTTTTGTAGGGACAGCGTATTTTTTATTACTGTAAACGAATAACCCATTCGACACTCCCATGGCGACAACGTAAAGTGGTGAGTAGACGTATTAGGTCATACTTCCTTGGCTGACAATGTATAGAACAAAATAACATTGAATATGTTATTATTATTATTATTATTATTAGAGATTGGATATAGCCTAGTTTTTCACGTGGCCAAATTGTGAATCCGACGATTTATGATTCTCGACCCGTTGACGCAAAACTGTACTCCATACTTTGGAGCCATAGGTACATTGTAAAAATTAACGTTTGCTATTCAATTAAAGTAGCTTAAGAGTTGGCGACAGTTGCTGCTGTCTGTCAGTTGGAAATTAGGGACGGCTAGCGTACACACAGCCCTTATGTAGCTTTGCAGGAATATCCAAAAGAAATATCCAAACCAGTCTTTGAAACCATTGCACAGACAACGTGGATGGGACCATTCCACGAAAATATCACCCATCAATTAAATTTCGAAGTGCTAACTGGAATTTTTAATTCATCATTTTCTCAACCACAATAAAATTTCGGAACTCGACATTTTATATTTATATTTAACCACTAGTTTTCTCTGGGGGGTCGTTTTACACGTAACAATAGAGCGATTTTCTTGTTATGAATAGCGTATAAAAACAAACAAACAGTGAAATATATTTTCTTATTTGTTTGTCGTTAAGCACAAAGCTTTACATTGGGCTACTTGTGCTGTGCTCACCATGGATATCGAAACCCGATTTTAGCGACATAAGTCTTCTGACGTAACACTAAGCAGTTCTAGTGGTTTCAGAACAATAAAGCACAAGATTTATTGTTTACTGTTACACTATCCAACTAATTCAGGCAATAAATCTTGTGCTTTATCTTTCTGAAGCCACTAGAACTGCTAAACAATATAATTTACTATCCTGAATTGTTGGATAGTGTACTATATTGTTTAGCAGTTCTAGTGGCTTCAGAAAGATAAAGCACAAGATTTATTATTTACTGTCCTGAATTAGTTGTATAGAGTATATCGTTTGTTTTTCTGTAATCAATTGGTAACATAAAAAAAACACCACAAGACAATTGTATGTGAGTTTACACACAATATGAAACTATTTTTGGCTCTTAGGCCTAATGTAATGGTTTAGTTTTCTGTGAAGTAAATTCAAATAATCACCTGATTTAATCCAAATAGCTACTGTAAATAGAAATAATATTTGGCCCTTGTAAATCCTCAAATAGTTGTAAGGAATTATTTCTAAATCAACGCTTGAAAGTAATTTCCGAATATTTGTACAAAGTTGTAAATTTTTTAATAAATTTTCATGTGTTATTTAAGTATACTTTTCACCTCTTATATGATCATGTAAATATTTGTTGCGAAATTGTAAATATAATTTTATGTAAAATAATTTTGGTCCTGCACTGGATCAAATTATTAATACTATTATTAATTATTATTATTAATAATACCATTATTAATACCTTAATAATGAACTAAATCACATTCTATATTCGCATTAAATATCACCTTACTTAGGTTATATTTAAAAAGAAAATGTCTATTGTATATTCATTTATGTATTCATGTATATGCTTGTATGTTTTCAAGATAGAATCTTCTTTTATCTATGATAATAAACGTATATATTCTAAATAAGGTTTTATAGAATAACCCTAGTTCCAGTAATAAATGACTATTGATATCACAAAGACGACATGTTCCTCTTTTTTATTTTTTAAATTAACTGTGGATTTTACTCTTTACATGTCAACAAATGCTACAGGGCATTTAGTAGCTGCCCTCAGCTCAACAGAGTCATTCTGTGATACTTAGATCCACTGATATCCAACAGATAATAATGCTTGGAGACGGCTTGAATGGGTAATGAAGAAAATTTTTAATATAAGTTTATCATAACAGCAAATGTACAACGTTTCGACAAGGTTTTGTCATCATCAGGTCTCCAAGCATTATTAGTCTCAAAGTGGGTTCCCCGTCATCAAATCCAACGGATAAGTTTAAAAGTATTCGTAAATTGCAAATTTTAGAAATGTTATACAGAAAATGGACAGCAAAGGAAAGAAACAAATACAGATTTTGCAAGTCTTAATCAGCTTAAAACCTTTCTTTGATTCTTCACTGCTTGCTAGAGTGAGAGACTTTCAAGACACGTCCACAGTCCGGTTAACATAGGATAAATAGGTCCACATAGGTCTTGATGGTTGTGTGGTGTCTGGGATACTGCAACACGCCACTTTGGCCTTGAATTTCTGTAAAGAGGTGGCCTTTGGGGGGGGGGGGGGTTCTCCAGGGTCACTTGGCTTGTCACTAGTGAGATTCAAACTCCCAACTGTCAGGGTAAACTGCTAACTCTGACACGTCTTAGGCAACTATACTATTCCCTTCGTGTTAAATTTTGTATCTTCCCCATGGCCCTTAAATCATCACCTTTAACCAAATAGGTGTAGAGAGCAATACATCATTAAAACTGTTGAAATAACATAAATATAAAGTAATAATATATGTGCTACAGTTACCATTCCACAATGCAGACTAATATTTAACAACAGAATTCTGTTTCGTATTGTCCTCCTTTCCTTACTGTATGTTTTGCCTCTTCAACAAGAACAATAATTTTACCACTTTTTGACTGCTTCCTTATCTTGATCTATAACAGATATGGAGGTGCTATTTTTAATGTGATGTAAGAGTTTAGAAACATAGGAATAATTGGAGCCCAGCATCTGGAACAGCTGTGGCAATGTCCAAAAGTTTCGATACCTGTGGTGGATACAATACATATAACTCAACTTATAACTTTGTGCTGAAGAACAAACTAACTTATCTGGAGTAACTATAGTGCCTCTATACGTATTATTTGCAATGTGTGGGAACAACATATTATCAGTGATAACTTATTATTGTTATTTAAAAATAACCAGACTGTATTTCTTAAACGTATTTCAACAGACATTGTACCTTTTACATTGAACAGTTTGTCTGAAATATTTACCTGGACAAAGTTTTAATCTTTTAATAGACCATTTTATATTTATTTCTTTGTTTGTTGTTAAGCGCAAAGCACTCCAATGGGCTATTTGTACTGTGCTCACCACGGACATAAAAACCCGATTTTTAGCGTCATAAGTTCAAAGGCTTATCAGCACTGGGGGAAAGGAGGGGGTAATTCGGTTGATAACAGTAATGATTTCAATAGCTTTGAGCAAAAAAAAAAAAGAAAAAAAGAGTAAAGTTTCTTTCTTAGGTGGAGCTGTTAGCTTGTCAATATCGATAGATCTGGTTGTAATAGGCAACCTGGCTGTAGCAATAGCCACTACAAAAGAAAAAAACTCCAGATATTTACTATATAAAAGAAAGTGCAACCCCTTAATTTACGCCCTTTTGAACAAGTATTTTTAAGTGGCTCACAGATTCCCGTGAGAGCCAGAAGACTCCTAGAACACAAATGATTCAAATTCCATCATTTTTGTACGTTGTATCTAGCAGACTAAATTAGATATACATATTTATTGCAAGCTATTAGCACGTCACAATATCCAAGTACTTCTTTGACATGTTAAGTCAAGAGTTAAAGATAATAGAAATTATATTCTAATATCTATTCGGTGGATACGACAGTTTGAGTCTCTGTGTTGTATGTGCAACTTTACAAAAGTCCAGAAATGGCACGATTATATTTCGACGATTTTAACATACAGCTACTCGAGAGTTGTCTGCGCTAGCTGGCCTAAGTTTGAAGCGACGGATTAGACGAAAGGAAGCTAGACAACATAACCCACCGCCAACTTTTGGACTACTCTTTGCTGACGAATATTGGGATTGACCATTACTTTATAACGTCTCTATAGCTGAAAGGGTGAGCATGTTCGCGATGGATTTTGATCCTACAAACACGCAAGTTGCAAGTCGAGCCCCCTAGCATGATTGATTTCGAAATAATTAGTTTATCTGCACAAATTATTTGTATTAAAATAAAGTTGTTTTTTTAACTTGTGAGATTTGTCTGCAAACAAAAAAGTCTAGCTTGATTGAGGAGGAAAACTACGTCATCAATATTATGACGGGATTGTTAGGCCTAACAACTAGCAAAGTTGTGAAGTCGCAAAACCTATCTTCTTAAAACTGAATCTGTTTCGTTTACTTGGAAATTACCCACAATGCTATGTAAGCAGCAACTGATAAAAAAACAAAAAACAACCATGTCAAGATTTATAGTAGAATATCAACTAAGTCGTACACAGTCTCCATTTTTGGTACTTGTCAAAAGAAAAAAAAGTTAATCTGCGAATCGCGGGTTCGAATCCCCGTCATACCAAACATGCTCGTCCTTCCTTTCAGTCGTAGGGACGTGATAATGTGATGGTCAATCCCATTATTCGTTGGTAAAAGAGTATCCAAGAGCTCAGGGTAGGTGTTGTTGACTAGCTACCTTCCCTCTAGTCTATCACTGCTAAATTATGGACGGCTAGCGCAGATAGCCTTCGTGTAGCTTTGCACGAAATTAATAACAAAACCAAAACCAAATATCGTTAAAATGATCAAGAAGTATACGTCATTAGATAAATTTGGACTTCCTATTGGTTATAAATTATGTAACATAAAACGTTAGAAAGGAAGTTAATTGACAGAAAGATAACGTGATAATGGACTTCCTATTGGTTATAAATTATGTAATATAAAACGTTAGAAAGGAAGCTAATTGACAGAAAGATAACGTGATAATGGACTTCCTATTGGTTATAAATTATGTAACATAAAACGTTAGAAAGGAAGTTAATTGACAGAAAGATAACGTGATAATGGACTTCCTATTGGTTATAAATTATGTAATATAAAACGTTAGAAAGGAAAAGTGGCTAATCGACAGAAAGTTAACGTGATAATGGACTTCCTATTGGTTATAAATTATGTAATATAAAACGTTAGAAAGGAAGCTAATTGACAGAAAGATAACGTGATAATGGACTTCCTATTGGTTATAAATTATGTAATATTAAACGTTAGAAAGGAAGTTAATTGACAGAAAGATAACGTGATAGAAGGATGTGACAATTGAATGTCAGTTTTTGTCTTGTGATTCCTCCAAGAAAATAGATTGGACGCTATAAAATTAGATGTTGCCTTAGTAATATCTATACTATAAATGTGTAATTTACATTAAACTCAGGACATCACATAGGGGGTGGTTAGAAATTAGTAAAGCGCATTTTGGAGCGAATAAGTTTCGAGTGAACCGAGTGCAGTTTGTGAACTTGCTTTGGTATTTTCTGTTAAAATTAATACCTTTATTAAAATTTTAATTATAAACTAAGTTTTGATGCTAAGTTTTATTGATGAAAATTGATAATAAAGTAGTTTAATTAAATTTTGAACGTTAACTTTGCAAAAGTCGTGACATGCGCACTTTGAATCACCCCTATAGATAGGGTTAATTAGCATGAACCGATAGGAACGTTCTTCGGTATTACTGAAAGTATAGTAGATATATTGCAGTAATATCAAGACTCAAG